ATTTTCACAATAAAGACTCACCATTAAGACCTTCATTTTTAAAAGTTCTAAATCTAAATTCAAAAACGAGCTCTTTCGATATCTCTAACGGGGAGCGCATGAATGGGATTTATCTATATCTTACAAATACAATATTTTAATAATAACAGAGTCTGGGACAAATCTTTTTAGGATTTTCATGTACACTATGAGCTATACCTCTCATGAGCAAAATATGAGCTCAAATGGGAGGTATCACCTCAGATGGTTCCCTCGTTAGAATTTTTATTGCTTGATTAGATGTCATTGTCTCATCAGTTGGCTGAATACGATCTTAAAATAATGCAGATTGATTCTTTTACAAGCATACTAACTACCGTTATGCGATGCATGAACTTCACATTTCAATGATGTCGTCGTTGCCATATTGTTCTTCGAGCCAGTGCAGAAAATGATTTTTCTTTTCTTGTATATGAAACTATAATTGATGTTTGGTTTCTAAGAAATTTGTTTTCCTGCTCTCATAAATAATTATAGTGTTACTGATGATTTTATATACATCAAAAACGTTGTTCTGTAAAGTGCTGTAAAAGGAAATGAAAAACAATTCAAACATTCTTTATTCATTTCAGCTCTGCCGTATTCTACTGTATATCGGATGTCACTGATATCAGAAAAATAAACCATGCGACGTTTTTTTCTCTGTATTCCAATAATAAAATGTTTACTTACACATGATCTCATCGCCCACTTTATGACTATATAAAGCAACTTGTACTTTTTTTTTCTTGGCAAATCTTGATGAGGTGCGCATTAAAAATATTATAGATGTTTTTTCTATTGGCAGAAAAGTTAAATAAAAACGATGGTAAAAATAGTTTCATATACTATCATTCCGTTTTATATTTAGAATGAGAATAAAGATTGGTTGTGCCGAACATATTTTGAACTCATTACTAGTTCATTTGTTTGTTCATAAAAATAAGAAAATGGACACAAACTGGCTATGACTTTTTAATAAATGTAAAATGCGTAGAATTCAAATGTTAAACTGGATTGAATTTTGCTATAAACAATTTAAGAGAAGAATGAGTTGTTAGTCGCAAAGATATCTTGTTTTTTTCATTGCAAAATTCAAAAACCTAAATAAAAGCTCCCGTTTAAGTGGTTAGTAAATAAAGATGAAAATGATCCGTGAAAATATTAAATAGTTATTAGTAGAATAGTCAGTTTTTAATATATAAGTATTAGTAAAAAACCTAAATTTCATTAGTAAAACATTCAGATTTTTTGATTATAAGAAATAAGTTTATTGGTTTGAAAATTAATTTATTATGAGAAAAAAACAAAGAATCAAAGAGTAAATAAGAAATCCAGAAGATTATTAAGGAGAAATTCGAAATATGAAAGAAAAAAAGTATGAAAATTGGACTATTGCACTAGTAGGGTAGGCCTAACCTTTATTCATCCACCTCTTTGCTTTCTATCTTACCAATTAGTATTATTTAGCTGCCCGTGATTCAGAATATTTGCATCAAATACATACACCACAAAGTGTCCCTATATGGTGTTCGTCAAGCATAATTTGGAGCACAAACAACGTTGTTTGTTGATTTAACTATTTGGTACCATCGAATCCATAATTCTAAAGATATTATTGATTCTGCAACAAATATTTTTGCATTAAATGTCGATGGGTCTCGTTCAATCAAGAGTTGGTGATGAGTCGATGGTTATGAGAGTTATGCTATAACACATTTCGATCTTCATAAGTACACTTTAATTCAATTGACTGATTTTAAAAAATTTTGAAAACCCAGTTATTTTACCAACTAATCATGTAAATAATTTTCTGACCATTCATTTTTTACTGGTCATTTCCTTTTTTTTTATTGATCACAAAATATATTGTCCTAAATAGATGCACATATTATATGATATTAACTTTTATGTGTAAGAAAAAGTCGATTTGATATTCATATATACAGAAAGAAAAATTAGCAAACTTGATATGTAAACATTATTATGATTAACCATTTATTGAAAATAAACTACGCTTTTACAATAGCAAAATATTTTCATCATAATCATTAATATAGATCGACTTCATATTATTTATTATGACATATAATTCATTATTGACTATTTTTTGCATTATTTGAAAAATATAAATGTTTCTTAAATTGAATCTCTCTTTTTGCAACATAATCAATGTAATTATATTCAACATAAAAAACTATATACGAACAAATTATTTATTCATATTCCTCTCATTTCCATAATTTATATGTACTACTAAAAGAAATCTTTAATTTTTCGAATATATCATCTTATGCATTGAATACTATTTTGAAAAACAAACAGATCAATCTTGTCAGATATAAAGATGTGATCTTTCTCTTACATTTATTTATCAATTTTCTAATTCACAACTGATTCATGATAAATTATTCAAATGCTATTCAGTTTGACAGATACAATACTATAGAAATGTATGATATAGTAGGCTTTATAAAGCAACAGTTTCCTTTATAAAACCATATAATTAACTTATCAATATGAATAAACATTGGCAAAGCATTATATATTATACTGCTAGCAAATCTTGAAACCGATAACATTCTAGAGAATTGACAGGCGTAACTATTCGAAAACAAAACTATTGTTCCTCATCTCTTAATATTCTCGAAATATATCCACAACAATGAGGGATCCATTTCTTATTTATTACTCGCTATAATCAATTTTTTCCATAATACACCGTGAAACCCACTAACCAAATGGTTTTAATTAATTAGTTTTAGTTTTAAAAAAGCTCGTATTATTTTAGTAAATATTTAAAGTATACGAATTGTATCGAATCTTGGAACATATGTGCAGTTGATGGTCCCTGTCAGATTCTACTAAAATTATGCACAATCCAACTATCAAATCGTTCATCTTGAGATTCTATGATTCTATTAACCACTTCAAATATTACAATTCTTATTTTCATAAATAATATTATTATTCAAATAATTCATTGCTACATTTCTCAATAGATATTTATTTTACTCCAGCAAATATTTTTCTTATCATATTGTTAACATATTTTATTTTTTACAATCATTCATTGAAGTATATTTCTTCTATCATCAATCAAAATCAATATTCATAATAGAGTATATAGGTATTAATCATTTTGAGAATAGCAAATAAACAAAAAAAAAAGATTACATATAGCAAAAATGAAAAACGAATACATATATGTATGTACCATATTTTATTGTTTCGTAGCCCTTTAACGTTTATCGTTTTATCAAGCTAAGTAATTCAACTAAAAAGAAAACAAAATTCAGAGTTATAAAGAATATAAACAAAACGAACTTACTAGGTATTGGAAAAATGATTGTTGAATTTTTCTCAGCTGAAATATGTGTTAACGTTTGTAGATAACGTAATTGTAAAGCAATAGGCGACTGAGCAATAATATCAGCAGCTTCTTTTAGTTGTCTTGATGCTTTTTGTTCACCTTCAGCAGCAATAACTTTAGCACGTGCTTCACGACTTGCTTCAGCTTCTGCAGCCATTGATCGTTGCATGGATTGTGGTAAACGAACATCCTTACTATAAATACAAATAAATTTATATTTATCTGAAATAACTTTATTCAGAATAATTACATTTCAACACGTTCAACTTTCACACCCCATGGTTCCGTTCCTTCATCCAAATGACCTTGCATACTTTGTGCAATAATTTCTCGATCACAAAGAATTTCTTGAAGCGATTTTGTACCAAGAATATTTCTTAGTGTTGTTTGTGCTAGTAATTGTGTTGCATATTGTGTATCTTTAACATTTGTGACACTGATGACCTTAACAAAAAATATTGTACTTTCAAGTTTTAGCAATTTTCTATTATATTTACTGGATTATAAACACGGCTATAAACAACAGCATCGACTGAAACAGTAACTGAATCACGTGTTAAAATCTAATAATAAGGAATTGAAAATATGTTATTTAAAAATATAGAAAAGTTACTTCTTGAGGTGGAACATTAAATGTTGCAGTTCTTAGATCAACTTTCATTATTGAATCAATACATGGTAAAATAAAAAATAAACCAGGACCTTTGGCACCACCTATATAAAACAAAAAAAATATTTAGATGAATCGTGATTCGTTTGATTAGATTTAATAAAACTAAGAACACAGAATATTTTTTTGAAATTATTCTCTGAATGTATGTCTATATGATTTCTTATGTATTCGAACGATGAAACTTGTTCTAGCTGGTTTGTAAAAATATTTGATCATGGTCTATAACAACTATTTTAATACCTGGTAGAATTCGACCGAGACGAAAAATAACAGCACGTTCATATTCTTGAACAACCTATATA